AATGATCGACATAATAATAAAATTTACCAATCAATTTCTTTGTGAACCAACCAATCATAAAGAAAGCCCGCTATGCTACACTTCTGAGTATAACTTTCAAATTTAAAAAATCTATGAAAAAGAAAATTTGAGACAAATTTTTTTTTTAGATTAATAGACTCCATTTTTAAAGCTGAATTGAATGGTGGTAGGTTTTTTAAAATCCAATGTGTGGATCACATAATATTTCAAAAATTTTAGTAACCCTTATTATTATAAATTTTTATAAATGTGTCCTTCATAAATTTGTCCCAAAATTTCGTGCACTAAAATGTTGCAGAAATCGGTGGATACGTTTTACACAAAAAAATCTAAATATAAGAAAAAAATATTAAATTCATATTCTGTTTCTTTGATAATTTACCTATATAGAAGTTCGCCTAAACTACTAAATTTCAGCAATAGTTACGGCAAATTAAAAAATTTGGTTTCGGCTTTCATGCAGGTAAAATGCCGAAACTAAATCTATATAGCAGACATTTACATAATCGATTATAGATCATTTGATTTTATCACGGGAAATTTTTTTTGTTGCACATAAATTTATAAATGCACACATTCAAATAAATATTAGCTTTTATTTTTTATATGAAAAAAATTTTTTCCTTTCTTTATTTAAAGATAAAGATATTATCCTGTTCTTAAACTTAATCAAGATTGCTGAAAAGGAATCATTTTTTATATTATAAAAATTTTTTGGATAGAATCAATCAAGTATCTTCTAAATATATTATCAATAAAGCTAAACAAATGCATTCTTTTGGTAATTCCTAATCTATTTATTGTTTGCTTTGCGGGAATAATAAGAGTGTTTACATAGCTAATGGAGATTTTCATAGATATCGAAAGCAGCAAATATAAAGAAAGTGAAGACATTAATAAAGAACTTTCTGACATGATAAAATTATGTACTGAACATGCTTAATTTTATAAGTGAAAAGGCAATTTCAGAATATTAATAGAGTTAGTATTCACGGATATCATGGATACCGTTAAGGGGTTAACACACTATTAAAACAGCAAAAAAATGCTTGATTTTAAGTGTGTGACCTCTTTATGGTATCCGTGAATACAAGATTAAAGTGTATGGAGTTATAGTTTCTGGCAAGTAAATTTATTTTATAATCAGGCATTGTAAATACTATCAGACTTGGATAAATTTGCTAATTTTATTTTTGAATTAGGTTTGGATATGAAATTTATAGATTGAAAATAGTTGGTCTTGAGTTATACATATTTGAAAAGATCAGTGGATGTGACTTTCCTGTCACTTTTACGATTTCCCACAAATGAGAAAAGCAATACTACAATTAGTGTGCGTGATTTAATTCAGTAATATCTTTCAGCAAAATTGAATTTATGTTAATAGATCTTGTTAAAAAAAGATCTTTATGGATCAGGGTTGGCAATAGGCTGGGTACATCGAGACCAACGAGTTTGTTCTGGTCCATTGCCATTAAATATGGTTAAAATCTCACACTAATGGACTAATACCATGGCCAACCCTGCTATGGATAGCAATATAGTAGATATTTCACAAGAGTTAGAATCAGGGTACAAATCACCACCTTCACAATCAATATGTTGTCAATAAAGATTGAAATATCTCCTATGTCTGCTCAAAGATTAAAATTAGAAGAATTGAAAAAAAAGAAATTACCAAAAGACTTAAATTTTAGGATATTTATACTTTGCATGTTGATATGTAATTAATTAATTAACATATATATAAAAGAAAGAAGGGTGACCGTGTTACGGTTCCTTTCTAAATGTCATAATTTTCGTGTAAATTTTTATATTTTGTGAAATGTTTTCTTTTTTATATATATGTTTCCCCTAATCTAACAATTTTACCCAAGTTTGAGATGTTTAGTTGCAGGGAAATAATTTGTTGTAAAGAAGACTCATCAAGACTTGAAACGGTAAATTCGGTACAGTTACGGTAACGAAACACGGATTTTCTAAGCATTATGTTGCTCAACTTTAGTAAACTGAATTGTTGGGAAGAATCAAAGGGTGAAACCTTGTTTTTCTTTTTTTGCTGCGCTGTTTTGAAATAATAATTGATTTGAAATTTGAACAAAAATATTTTCGTTTTCCAAAATGATAAATTTTTAAATCTCCGTATCATGAAAATTCCCATTGCCATCTATTTGGAAACCGAAATATTTATGTGTGCTTGTTCAAAACGTCAGGGTTGGTACTTGACTGAAAGGAAATCGTGTTTTGTTTTATATTTTTTTGCGCAATGTCTATCATTGTCTGCCATTAGATTTTCATCTTGCTATGACGTTTCGGACCGATCAAAATGGCCAAAAACTTATGACCTTGCCTTGGAGCCTTTACCTCAGACCCCAGATTGCCACGTTGGTATTTTTCGAGTCACAAGACTGGGATTCAAAAACATGTTTTTACATTTTTTTACATTTTTTTGTTGTTATCGGTCAATTCAACGATCGGTAAACAAACAATATGTACAAAATTTTTTAATTGTTTGTGTTGAATTAAAAAAAAATTCTTTTGGATTTTGACCATTTGAGGATATGGATTGTCTGAATAAGAAAATATTTTAACAAGCATCAGATACTTGATACTTGCTAATGCATGATTGAAGTTTACTTTCTGGTTGTTGTTTTCTTTGGCTAAAGACTTGTTCATTAACTGACAATTTTAATTCACAATTGCTAAATTTCCTCCATTGATTAATTAATCTTTGCAAAAGAAAAAAAGGCTTAATTGATTTTTTTTTTTTAACAATCGAAATTTGTAAATAACTTTTGATGTTTGCAAAAAAACAAAAATCTAATCGATCCAATAGACTTTTAATCTGGGATAAAATAAATAATAAGCACGATGAAAAGATCTTCTTTAATTAAGAAAAAACAAGCTTAGTTTATCTTTTCTTAACAATCGAAATTTATCTTCTATAGTGACAGATTTGAAAAAAATTCCAATTAATCCAATTGACCTTTAATCAAATAAGCACGAGAAAAAGATCAGGATAAAAATGACTTTGTTTTTCATTAGTAAAAAAAAGCTTGATTGATTTTTTTAACAATAGAAATTCGTAAATAACTTTTGATTCACACGAAGGTTCTTCTTTACAGAAGATCTGTTATTAAATTTGTGAACAATTCCTCTTTGTATGTATAATTTTTTTAAATATATAAATTTTTTGCTAACGCAACAAATAAAATAAAAATATTGATATAATAATATGACTGGTAATGTTAATGCTCCGAATGAATATATAGATACCTCGCATTTGAATATAACGTGTAAAACCAAATAATACTAGAACGCCATTTCGGTCTCGACCCTCAAATTCGAATGCAACATAAAAAGCAAAACCAACCACTTTTTTTGCAAATTTTGGTTCATGGGTAGAGTAGCGGGCCTATTTATATATTTTCATAGTAATTTGTTAGAATACTCGATCAGTGCTACGAGATGGTCTATTTTATTAAAGATTGCATCATTGATCATGAATGGTTTTGCATCCAATGCTATTTTTGATGCTCCAATTGAATATATATGTGTGTGATTGAGTTGCGTGATCTTATAATGTTATGACATCAAAGAATACCATCGTGCTATAATGCTAATCTGTATTTTACAAAACTCACTGTTACTTTTTCGTTTAAAAGCTTGTTTACTACTTTTTTGTGTGTAACAGGGCTGAACATATTAATATATAGTAAATTCGATAAACTCGAACAACTTTGAGGCTCAAAACATCCACAACAACATGACGTATCAACAAAATGGAATGTAAAAGGTCTTGGCTATTTACTTTTTGGTGTCACATTTCCATCTTTGAAGGATTTGAAGGGTCTACATGGCCAATTAAAAATTGCGGGACCAAGTGACTTGCACTATTGCTATTACTATTACTATATATTAATATATGTCATGGAGAAATTCGAATGTTATAGTAATAGATATACATGCATAATTTATTTGTATGACAACCTGATTGCATAATAAACCAAATTCGATTAATTACCTCATGCTACATACTTTTTCTTTGTGAGAGGATTCTTGGCGTAAATACATTCACATTGCTTTCTTCCACTTTATTATACTCATTCTATAGATCTAAAAGAAGATGCAGGAAGAGATGGGTGAAAACGTTTAAAAAGGATAGTATATTGAATCTATTTACATTGATTGCTTTTATAGCGATTTACTTGTGTTAGTTATTTCAACATATTAACATTATTTTTTATATCTCAAATTAAATATGTAAACATGTCTTCTTGAATACTTGTATGTATAAATCGTAGAGTCAATCCCATTGAAGTATGCTCTAAAATTTCCAGATAGGAGCATAGCAGTGTATTCATGAAAAAATATGGTTGTGAATGAAATGCTTATCAATCGAAGGTTCATAATAATACATTGAGTTTAATAAAGCATCTATATGCATGTGGAATCGGAAAAAATTGTGGATAGTGTGAAATCGAAATAACTACATGAATCATGTAATACGTGGTGAATGGTATAGAGATAAATAATGTCTAAGTTGTGATATGTCAAGCAATAAATTCAAGTTCACATATCATGTTCGAAGCCAGAGAAACTTTTTTATTGCTTTGAAATCTAGCGTTTTGTCACTCTGACATGCTGTGCAATGTTTTCTAATGCAAAATGATTGTTGTCTTATCATCTGTGTGAAGCTGCCATTTTGAGAGATTCCAGTTCTGAGAGATTAAATATGATACACAAACTGATTTCTATGCGGATAAAATACATCAAACTGCATTTGTCCATTGACGCCTCATTATTGAATGTGTCTGAATAAATGATTTCATGAAAAAATGAATATTGTTTAGTGAAATATTTTTATGTGCATCATCAATTGTAACATTCTCGTTAGTACATATAAATATAAATATAGATGAAAGATCATTTATTATTATTGTTAACAACAACTCTTTTAATAATCATTTTAAGCCATGGGCGGGTCAATGTCTATTGTGAATGAAACAAATGTTCCACTCAATGTAGCCCTGAAACAACTAACTCCTCTCTACTACCAAAACTCTATGAAGCCTGGTGAAACGATGTATCGAAATACCGGTGCTGTCCATTGGACAGTTGAAGCTTTTGTCGACTGGGGCGAGAATTCTCAATATTCAGACTGGCAAAGTATTATTCCAATTGGCCTTCTATCACTTGGTATCGTCATGACCGCTACAGGCGCTGTTATCGGTGTTATCGGTGCTCTCGGTGCTTTTAGTGGATTGGCAAGTGCTGAAACATTATTTGTAGCAGGAACTTGGCTTCTGAGATTTGGAACAGGAACGGTTGCTGTTACAGGCACTAAACAATCATTGGAATCGTTTTTGAGAAATGGATCAGTATCTTCTGCTGGTTGGTACGCTGGATATAATCATAAATTGGCGATTAGAGGTGGACCTGATTATGCAATTGTTGACGGAAAAAAAGTTCTTCAACTGGATGGATGGAAGCCTTTTGAGATTGTACAAATTTAGTATTGATAGTATTTTTGCTTAAATTTTTTGTATTTTTTATCATTGTGCTTTATTTGTAATATCTTGTTGGTTGTATTTATTCTTTATTAATAAAAAGGGATTGCAAAATACAAGTAATGAGATACAATACTAAACTTTCTCAACCCATTTTTTGGAGTCCCAACAAAAAAAGTTTTGTGATAATTTGATTATATGGAACTTGCAAGCTTTTACCAACAGATTTTCTAAAAGTTTTTGTGCACCACAAAGTAGCCTATTTCTATTTTAAGTTTCATTGTAATGTAATGATGGATGAATACATGCATGTGTCCCACATCAATATGATTTACAAACAAGGTTTTTAGGGGGTTTTGCGAATTTATTATTATTTTTTGGTGCCACAAAAAAATTTTTATACAAATTGATGTCATCGTTGGCAAACTTTGCAAAATCACAAAACTCAAAATAACTCAAACTATATGATATATTCAAATAAAAATTTGTTTTAAATTCACTTTTTGATGCTCTTTAAATATATAGAGAGCTTTTTACAATTTTACTTGCATAAAATTTTGTAACATATATTCACAACTTTTACTTTGATTTTCTAGCTTAAAATAAAAAAAAGGGCTCTGTTATTTTATTGTCCTATTTCTCTATAGTTGGCTTGGTCTAAAGACCTCCCAAATTTTAAAAGTATAGAAGTCACTTTCTGTCCTACCTTTTAAAAAAATAGCTCTATTAGTTGATAGAATATGTCTTTAGTTTTAATGTAATAGAGAGATTTTCTCAAAAAAATTATTTGTTGTAGAGTTCTATTCTTTTTTAAAACATGTACTTTACTATGCTTGCAAGGAATTTGTCTACTATGATCATTTCTAAATTTAGGAAAATATTACCAAATTTAGACTAGCTCTTGACTATCATATCTAAATTTGGCAGTAAGAAAACTAAAATCACGTGAAGTCCTATTTGGCCGCATGGCGCAGCAATAGGAGGTCTTTAGACCGAGCCAACCATACTATAATTATGATGACTTGTATCAAAATGGAATCACGTTTTTAAATTGGCCTTTTCTTGTTTCTATTTTACCGATTATTTGATTGATTTTTTGATTTGTAATATAGAATTGATTTTATAATTTTATAATGAAGAAAGAAAATATGGAAGAATCCAATTGATAATCTTTAAAATATTATTGTGAATGAAAATCTTTTTACTTGAAAAATAAATGAACTGGTGGTTTTTTATAATGTTCCAACATAAGGTGTAATTATTTACGTCAATGAGAGAAAAACAAAGATTTATAAACATATTCTTAACAAACTTTTTTTATTGATAAGCAACGCAATATGATAATCGTTAATTACATTTGCATAAAAGAATTTCCTTTGTCAGTAAAAAAGAATAAATCAATATTGTAATAATAGATTATTTTTTTCCCAAGAGTTTCTCCTTTTTGTTTTGTAATTGTATGTTCTTATCCTGCTTTCTTTTTCTAACAGTAAATTTCATAGGTAATCCCTTCTTTTTTTTAGATAAGTTTCCAGTTTCTATTATTTATTTCGAGCAATTTTTTCACCTTGTTCCTTTTTTAAAATATTTCTAATGGTACTATAATTCTTTGGCTCCATGGTAGGCCTAATGTCTAGACAAATAAATATCACGAAATTCTTGGTAATGCCAATGTTCGCTTTGTCTGGTTTTGTTGCAATATGCCCATATGTGATTGACTATGTTTGTAAAATCATATAATGTATGACATTTCAATGTAACTTGCACCAATAATCAGTCAATTCAAGTGAAAACTTTTGAAATTCCTTTATCATTTGATGATGGTGATTTTGATAAATAAGAATGGGATAAGATCTATAATTGTTAAATTTTTGTTGGTTGTTAGCAAACTTGAAAAATAAAGTGTCATTTGATTGGTTATACATATACATGAAGTCGAAGCCATTTGCAGGTCTGGTTGAAATAAGGTCGAAACTGATTTTTACTATGTAGTTGAAACATTTCGACCTTGGGGTTTTAATTTCGATTTCGTGTATAGTTATACATATAAATTTTTTCAGTAAGTTTTAAAGAATGAGTTCCTAATTATTGATGTAGCTTGATTGGTCAGAGTTTATAATTATTTGAGTTATACTTGGGACCAAAATTTGAATTATTTCTCCTTTCAAGAAGTAGCGATTAATACAAAGGGAAGAGTAGCATTTAGAATTGCCCAAATACTTGTAAACTCTAATGATTCTTTTGCCAGATCCTGTGGAAAATTTAGACACCTCTAAAGAATTATTATTATTTGGAAGAGGATGTTCAAAAACCTTTAGATTTCCAATGATTCTTTAAATATGAATTGTTTCATCGAGCTCATAGAAATTATACATTACTATGTTTTACACCTATTTTAACAATCATTAAAACATCCTGACCTGATGATATAATTTCATCTTACTATCAGTTATCACTATTAATACATCATGTGATAATCAATTGAAAAAATTGAAAAATTAAATAAAATAATAATAGTCATAGATTTGTCAGTTTATATATTTTTTTATTACTTTTATATTACAATCAATTAATAATTTATGATCAATAAAAAAACATAGTATGTATATATCTATTTGTATTATTATTTATTGTTATATGATTAATATCTAATAATGATGTTGTTGTCATTGATGATTGTAAAAATTAGTTATAATATTGTATAGTATAAAGACAGTCATCAAGTGTTTCTAGAAGCTGAATTAGTTGTAGTTGATGTTGATGTTGATGTTGATGTTGTTGGCATAGTCGATGTAGTAATGAAAAGATTGAGAATTATTATAAGGATTAATATTGTTATAAGTTGTGTTAGTGGCAGTATTCTCCGATTGGTTGATTGAAGTAGTAATCATCGCTATATCAGTGGCATTAATAGCAGTGGCAGCTTGTGTCCTATCATTTGGATTGACTTCGATTTCAAATTTATTATTATAGTTATTATTGATATTATCAATACAATATTCATCATCAAGATTATCGTCACCATCATCATCAGTACTATCATAAAAATCACTACTATTATTATTGTTATGATAATAAATATTATTATAAAAATAATCACTGCCATTACTATTATCGTCATCACAATCATCATCATCACTGCTTAATTGTGTCAGCTCGAAATTTTTAATTCCATTATTATTAACACCCTCTTCATCATCACTACTAATTAATGTTATACCAACATTATTAGAACTACCATTTCCATATTCTTCCTTTGCAATTTGCATAAAGTTTTGGTTATAAATAGCATCAGCAGCATATTGATTTCTATTTTCATGATCATCGTCATAATATTTTTCATCTTTTATAACATAATCACTGTCTTCACTAGTAGATGCGTCGTCAGCATTATTTTTCTCGTAATCTTCATCTACTGTATCATCATCATCATCATCATCATCATCATCATCATCATCATCATCATCATCACTATCATCGTCGTCAGTAGTAGTAGTAGTAGCAGCAGGTTTATTGCCATAAATAGGAAAACTGACAGATTCTAATTTTGAGGTTTTTAGTTCCTTAGTTTCATTATCAGCATCATAATCATTGTCTTGATCACAGACATCAAAGTCACGCTCATATGGTTGGTACATTATTCTATAAAATCAATGATAATATTGTATAAATTTATTAGAATTATTACAATTGGTAATTAATTAGTAATAATAATTATATTATTTACTTCAAGCAACTAATGCTATGATTTCCAAACATTTCTAAAATATTTATATTTATTATATATATTATTAATATTATTAACGCGTAAATCGCGTAAAATTCTCATTCCAAACACATTATTAATATTAATATTATAAATGACAATGGAAAAAATTACTAAAAACCAACTCACTTTTTAACTTTTATTTTCAACTAGTTATTTGTATTTTTATTATGTTGAATTGCAAATATAGGCAGAATAAAAAAATATTATCAAAAAATTTCTTTTTGTAAACACACGTTACAAAACACTTAATTTAGATTTTTATGAAACACGTGGAGAAAAGCACGATAACCAATTAATTATAATTATATAGTCAATGAAAACATGGAGATCTAAATAAATAAAATCAACTTCACAAAGAATACAAGCTTGATAATAGTAACAGACTACTAAGATTTTTCAAATAAAAGAAACATTGAATGATGCAATAAAAATTGATTTATAATTGTTGGAAGATATATATTTTTTCAATGTAGATATTCATAAAGAATAATTTTAAAGCATCAAACAAAATTATTATTTTATTGTGAGAATCAAGAGCAATATAGTTTATCAATTTGATTGCAAAAAAGGTCATTGAATAATTCAAAAAAAAAAAGGTTTTTTTTACAAAGGAAATATGGAAGGGTTTTAAAAACAACAAAATGGCAAGAAACAAAAATTCATATAATATGCAAGTTTATATATATACTTATATATGTAAAAACAGTTGCCTCAATCTAAAAAAGTCAAGATTGGTTTGATTAAGACAGGAATTCTGGATAAAATCGAAGGTGATTATAGTGATTGATTCAAAGAATTAATGTTTGGATGGACTAATGGATGATACTGGGAGTAAGAAACAACGAATCTACCATTATCATAAGTAACAATATCTAATTTTCACTATTCAAATATAAAATGATAACTTTGGGATTAACCAGTGACCCCCAAATCCCGAATGAATGTGATAGAGTAAATAAAATGTAATTAATCAAGTAATAAATAAGAGCAAATTAGTAATTCAAAATGAACTTCTAGTCACTTTTCTTTATTATGTTGACATTAACTGATGTGTCAATTCGGTAGAAGAGGGAAGGCTTAATGAATTCAGTTTGTTCAATGGGCGGATTTTATGGACGGCATCTGGATGATAATTTATTCTCAAAGTAATTGCTTGATTTAATAAGTTCTTTTTTTTCTCCAAAAGGTGGCTTCATGATACCATTTAGAGTGTTTGGAGAATTTTTGATTTTTATTATTATTATTCATTTTGAAATATATGCTTTTAATTTTCTTATTTTTTTTGATATATACTGGCTGTATATATTATTTTTTTATTACAATTAATAATTTGAATTAATAGCATACAAAAGTGATAATTATGCCAACTATCATCAAATACGTAACAGAAAATCTTTTATTATTAAAATAGGAATTAAAATCTATATAAAATAGTTTTTTGGAGGGAAGAAAACTTAGTTTCGGATGGATGCAAGAAACTACATTTAGGTGGTGGAAGGAGTGGTGTTGTCATTGTAGCAATATAAATAAAACCAAATTATATATTTAATAATAATTTCTAATCTAAAAACCTAATACGGCCTTGTTTACATACCACAAAGCTTAATCGCACTTTTTGGAATGTGCTCATTTTCATCTTAACAATTTGATTCCGTAACCATACAATTCACCAGTAGCGAAATATTAATATTTTATTCCTCATAACAACATTGATGATGAAAAGTGGAAATTTGTATTCATGATTTCAGAAATTATATTGGAATACATAAGAAAATAGAAAAATAGCATTTAAAAATTCGCTATGCCAAGTTCATTTGACAACTGTAAATTAGCTCGCGGGGGTGTACTTGATTCTACTTGATTCCTGCACCAGACCTCCCCCCCCTCCTGTTTTTATATTCTCCGCTGGGTTCCATATATGTTCGTTCCTATGTTCAGTTTGGTTTGGTTCAAGTTTAATTTAACTCTGAGCTTGAACTGAATTCATACCACTTTTATTGAACCTGAACTATTCAATAAGGAAGTAGATCTGTCAAACTTTATTCTATTAGTTACTACTACCCTTTACTTATGACTTGATCATTTATAATAAAACATGTTTTTAAGGATTTTTTTGCGGTATTTTGAAAAAAATTTCTAGATAGACTTTTTTTGAACTCAATTAAAAACGTCATCAATGAATTTTAACTTTACAAATTTGAGTTGAATAAGAAAGTACAATTATTATTATTATTATTATTATTATTATTATTACAATAAAAAAGATATCAATACAAACGCGTGTATTGTATGATTAATGTTCATTACAACCAATCACCAACGTACATT